CCTGGCGGCCCGGGCCACGGAGCAGGAGCGCCAGGCCAGCGAGATGCGCGGGCGCTCGGAGCAGTTTGAGAAAACGGTGGGGCTGCTGAGAGAGAAGATGGAGCATCTTCTGGGGGCTTGCCAGCACAAGGAGGCCAAGGTGATGAGATCACGCGGCGGGGGGAGGTTTGCTAACTGCACCTACCTTTGGTTAGTCAAGGTGAATCCCTCCCAAACAGAACGCCAGCCATTTGCAAGGATCGCGCTATGTTCTCTGAGTCTAAGGTGGTTTGGGGTTAAGATTGGAAGTGAGGGCTGGCAGTGTGTCTCAGTGTTTGAGCATCGACCTATGGACCAGGAGGTCAGGTTCCATTTCCAGTCAGGCCATATGCCTCGGTTATGGGCTGGATCCTCAGTGTGGAGCGTGCAGGAGGCAGCGGATCAGTGATTCTCTCTCATCATTAATGTTTCTCTCTCCCTTCCTCTCTGAAATCAATATATATATATTGGAGGTGAGGTATAAATAGAAGAGAGAAAGGGGCTTAGGTGTTAAAATCTGGACTCTGGTTTTAGAAGCCATGTGTACTGTGGTTTATTAGCATTTTGACTTAAATCATGTTTTAGCCTAAGAGCAGCTCTGATGATACGATGGGTTGCTGTGGTTTTGCTAAGGTTCTGAGAAGGTGATTCAAGGCTGATTAAGAAAAGTAGACCAGGCTACAGGCCCACTTCATCCCTTCAACCCGAGTAGGTTCTGCAAAAGATTCCCATTGGCAGAGAACGCACCAATGCAAAGTAACAAGTTTGAAAACTGCCGTGTTCAATACCTGGGTTTCCTAATGCTTGCTCCAAAAGTCACCAATCTGCATGTGTCTAGGGGCATGTTTTATGAATTCTTAAAAAAAAATCAGGAGACACCCAAGATGGCGGCATAGGTAAACACCAGAGTTTGCTGCCTCAAACAACCACTTCAAAAATACAACTAAAAGACGGAACGGACATCACCCAGAACCACAGGAAGGCTGGCTGAGTGGAAATTC